CTTGTATGTCACAGAGCCCTTCAGTTACACACCTAGCCAGAACACCTGGCAATGAGAAATACATGCCCTCTACAGAGCAGCCACTACCAACTGCACAAACAAGCTGCCTATTGTAGAGCTGCACAGTGATTCTTTGAAAACCCACACATGCCACAGGCTGCTTTGAAGGATGAGGACCTGGACCTGGCAGCAGAGAGGAGCATGAGTGGATACTGTTTTGTCTTTTCACTCTGCTCTTCTCACTGATCTCAGTGCCAGCCTGTAGGGAGACAGCCAACTTTCAAGCCAAGCAGGGGGTAAGTCTTCCCGTCTAGAGGCACAGTCAAAAAAGGGGCCCACATAGAGGGGGGCCTCTTCCCTGCTGAAGATGGTGGGCATTCCACCTGCCTGGAGGCTGCGGCTCATCCTGGCAGCATAGGAAGCCTTTTGCCTATGGATGAGGGCAATTTGACCCCTTTGCACAAATTCTGGCAATTCCAGAATGCAGACAGTTTGTTCTGTGCTCTTCCAAATCTACAAGAGCCCAAGCCAATTGCATCACCCCACATGCCCCAAGTTATTGTGCTGTTCTGAGGACTCGGGGAGCCACGGCGGTATCAGCTGTAGCCAGGCACAGTGTCAGAGCTGAAACAAGCATTGAAAAACTGCTGGACTAATTGCCTCTCCCCCCTACCAATGCTCCATAATCCTGACTTTCTCAGCCTGCTCCCTTAGGATCACACAACTACCTTTTTCATCTCAGATTGTCTTTGTCCCTTAGCTCTCTTTTTGCTCCCATGCATTTTCCCCAAAGTCGTGTCTCTTGGTTTTCCTCACTGGCTTCTTAAGACGAATGGCCCTCAGTTCAGCTCTATGATCCTCCACTGCCTTGATGCCAATTTTCCTCCACAGTTCTGTTTGTGGGGAGTGAGCAAGGAGATCATATGGGGAGAGGTGATCCAATCACTATCAACACATAATACAATATCACCCCATCTTATACTGCTAGCCTATGGTTGGGTGCATTCCCTGCATAGCACTGAAGTGGATTAAAATCTTTTCCTCCATTTCATTTCCTCCAGAACATGGAAGGGGTCCACCCATTGACTCTCTTGGACTGCCCTGATAGCTTGATGGTTTGGTTAAAATAAAAAGTAGTATGGAGTAACTGATCTCTATTGAAATTGATCTTGTGACCCCAGCATGTGCTCCAACGGAGGGTTGATTGGAAAACTCACAGTGGACTAAGATGTCAGAAATCAACAGCTGTAGATGAAGGACGCCTCTGAGCTGTGCCTGGGGTGGGACATAAGGGGCCAGTGGATGTAAGTGAGAGGGATCTGAAGCCTGCATTTCAGTTGGTGTATTACTGGACTGCCTCTCCATTAGGCAGCCAGGTCTGTGATTTGCCCTGCCTATATGCCAGTAGTGAGATAAGACAATGCATCATCTGTTTATTTTCACAACTTCATGGTGCCCCCAGAGTGCTCCTTGCCTAAGTTAAGCTACAAGTTAAGGAAGCATACAACCCCACTTCCTTTTGATAAGCAAAAGGAAAGGACAGGGTTGTCAGATCAAAATAAAAACAAAGGACACCCTGGAGATGTGCCTTGTGCTCCGCAGAGTTATGCGGAGGTGAAATGTTCTTAGATAAAAGGGGTGACCTGTCTGCTTGGTGTTCTTGATTTGCTTGGCTGTGAGGTGCAACCCTCTATAAAGCCTGAGATTTGGAACAAGTGAGCTAGTGACAAAAGACAACCCTGGGAGAATCCCATGGCAAATGTCATACGCTACCAGGTCTGGCGTGAGAAGGTGTGTTCTCTCATTCACTCACTAGAAGATGCTGTCTTCATAAGGACCTTTGAGCCTGGACTCTGCAAAGGCAGAGAGAAGGATGTAGGTGGGGGAATTCTCTTGGCAGAACTAGAAAGGTGAAGGATTGGCAAGGTAAAAGAAAAGACTGTGGTGGCAGGCGCCAGGTTCCTATGTTCCCATAATTAAATACTAATGCAGGGATGTGGAACCTGTGGACCTCCAGATGTTACAGTACTGCAATTTCCATAATCCCTGATCACTGTTCATGCTGGCTGGGGCTGATGGGAGCTGGAGTCCACAGCAGCATCCCAACCCTGGTACAAACAGCACACAGTGGCCATGGGATGCTGATGGACTGTTGGAGGGAAGGAGAAAGAACAACAACAAAATAGGGAAATGGAATGGAGTAACCTGGGAGAGAGAGCAGGGCTCTAGCCAGCCAGCCAGCCAGCCATGAACCAGTGCACTCCATGCTGCAATATTGTATTATCAATCTCTCCATGTGATCATTCTTATGGACATAGGGTGGTCATACTTCGAAGCTGAGTCATGAACCAAGGGCCCTGCTGTACAAGTCCTCAGCAATCAGATGCTACCCCAGCCCAGCCAGAAAACCTCAGAGGCATGCTTTGTAGAAAGAAAGGGGGAGCCCAAGAAGATTCCTGATCTAGGGACTGGTCTCAGTGCACCAGATGTCCTTCCACAGTCTTTCACATGCCTTATATAAGCACCTCTGAACTGCAGTGGTTTGCAGGATTTCCCAACCTGGTGCTCTCCAGGGAGGTCTTGGTTGGACCACGACTCTTGCTATCCTTGACCATTGGTTGTGCCAGCAAAAGATTATGGGAGTTGATACTCAAACATCTGGAGGAAACCAGATTGTGGATGCCAGAGCTGTTGTGCCCATGAATACCAGTTGCTGGCAACTGCAGGTGGGCAGAGTGCTGTTGGGCTCAAGTCCAGCTTTCAGGCTTCACCATCTGGTTGGCCATTGAGAGAACAGGATATTGGACTGGTTGGCCCCTTTGGCTTGATCCAGCAGGGCTCTCTTCTTATGTGGAAGGCAGGGGCTTCAGGTGTGGCACAATATATTCATTTTCTCCATGCCACAGAAACAGAGGCAAGCTCCAGAAGGGCTGATTGCAGCCCAGAGCCATTTCTAACCACTATGGTGGTTTCCAGTTTTGGAAGCCTTGGTTTTGATAATGTCAGTATGGCTTAGGTAGGATGGGGCAGTGAGAATTGTCAAATTTGCACCTTTCTGGAGCGGGAGGGAGGTAGCAGTCCAAAACCAGGGTGGGCTTTGAGAAGCCTTTCCTATGCTGACTCCCTCCCATTCCCTAGATGAACCTCTGGGTTTTTGTCACCTCCACCCCTTCTTCCAGCAGCCTTGGTGGATCACCAGCGTATAACCTTTCTGCCCCCACAGCTCCAAATCAAAGCCAGCCAGCCTACTCAGACTGACAGCTGAATGTCATCTTTCCCAGAGATGGAACTTGGTTGAGAGTTCTCTATGAGTCTCTCTGAGAAATATATATAAAGATAATTTAGGGGAGCTGTCATAAAGTAACACATTTTTATTCCCGATTAATCACAGTCACCAATGTGGATTAGCATCACCACTCTAGCTTTTAATGCAGACGTGAGGAAACTACCTCTGTCCAATGGCCACATTCCATGCAGGTGGTGGCCAGGGGCAAAAGTGGGAGGAGCAAGGGATGTAAATTTTGCCTTTGCAGACCTGGACAATTTCTAAATACGCTCACACACCCAGGCACCCAAGAGGCATGATCAAAGCTCAAAGACACATTCCAGCCAGGCAAAAACATTCAAGGAGGGTGTGGAGCAGGGGAGAATCCTGAGGGCCATATAGAGGGGTTTGAAGGGCCTGAGGTTGCCCACCTCTGTTTTATTGTGTGTTCTCAAGATTACGTAATGTGTGTTTAATCATCCTTTTGCTTTGCGTAATTGCAGAAGCTAAAGCATAGTAAATTGATGGACTCCTACCGCCTTCTCTTTCAGTGCATCTTCTGGGGAGGGTACTCCCAATTCCGTGCTAATCTGTGTTTTTTATTCTGGGTTAATTAACACAGAGTGTTCCTTTATAATCCTCAACAGGTAGTACAATCACCTTTCCATTCTTGGAACACTCTTTGTAAGAGAAAAGAGGGGTGGTCCACCTTTTTGCTAGTCTTCAAGCATTCTGGTTATAGAGTGGTTTTTCATGCGTTTTAAAAGTTTGTGGAAGGTTAGCCTTATATTATCTTGTAAACAACCCCTTAAATAAGCAGGGGTCATTGCAGGAGGAATGAGAAGATGGTGACGTTACCTTTGTATGAATCGTGAAGACAAACATTGCTAAAACCTGCATCCTGAGCCCTGCTTATATTGCAGTTTTTTATTTTTATTTTTTAAAAAACGTGTCAGTAAAAATGTGTTCATAAATCAGGGGAAGTGGGGAGAAGCTGTAAGAATAACTGGAGGGCAGGGAGCCCTGCCTTACCAAAGCAGTTTGATCTGTTTAGTCTCTCCAAGAGAAGGGTAAAGGGTGACTTGATCACAATCTCTAAGTACCTACATGGTACGGAAGGAGATTTCTGACGGCAGGCGGCTCTTTAATGCAGCAGACAAAGGCAGAATGAGAGCCCCCGGCTGAAAGCTGAAGGCAGACAAATTCAGACAAGAAATTAGGTGCAGATAAGCTGCACCCTCTTAGCATGGGGAAGAAAGAAAGTAACCACTGGAACAATCTAGCTAGGGAATTGCCAGACTCGCCTTGCTGCTGCTGCTGCTTTTTGGGGGGGGGGGGGAGCCCTCCTTCACAATAGCCCCTTACGGCAGAACGAGGTATGTGCAAGATCTTTCATTATCTCTGCGTTCCAAGCAATGTGAACACCAAACGCTTCCTGGTGACTTTGGGATGACATCAGCTGGGCAACTTGCACTGAGCCGTTTCATTTTGTTTCTTACCAGCTCATGCTGGGGTCAGGTGCGTTCAGCTCCTTCCTTCAATATTGCAGGAGAAGGAGATGGGAGGGGCACTTTCTTCTTTTCTTGAACCAGAGAGGCGTTCGTGTGAAGTGAGGGTAAATGCCACCCAACCTTTCCAGGAGCTATATGCCAAAGTCCCTTTGAATGTTTGGGTAAGAATCTCCAGCCCAGCAGGTGCAGAAACTCACAATGGACACTTCCAATGTTCTGATATTGGGGTCAGAGCTCAGTGGTAAAGCTTTGCATACAGAAAGCCCTGGGTTCAATCCCTGGTGTCTTCAAGTAGGACTAGGAAAGACTCTGGAATGCCACTTCCATTCAGGGTTTTCACAATACTGAGTTAGCTGAAGCAATTGTGTAGCTTGGAATAAGGCAGCTTCTAAACTTATACCTATGTCCCTACAGTTTTCTACAGTTCCAGGGTTTGAGATCGAACGACTTTCATCCTACCTGCAGTTCCTTGAGAATGCTCGGATGAGGAGCTTCAAGTCTTTTTTGCCCGTTATGTAGTTCTCAGCTCCTGGTGAAAGGAGAGAGAGAGAAATGCAGGAATTAGTTCCCCGTGGTATGGTAGGGGGCCTCTGTATGTGTCCGTGTGTGTATGAGAGAGAGAGAAGCAATATCACAACTACGTGGACAGGACCAATCATGCATCTCTTTCCCATGATACTGAAACTGGCCTGCTACTGGAGTCATAAGCAATGGGGAAAGACCCAAACAATCAGCTCTACCTGCATGCTTTTTCTTGCTGTTGGCATGGCTGGTCCACCCATGAGGCAAAATGAGACAACTGCCCCAGGTGGCAGGATCCACAGGGGCAGCAGATCCAGCCTCCAAGGAATGCATGTTGATTGATTGACCCACGACAGTAGGAACATGGGAACCCCAATAGATCAGACCACTATTGTCCACACCAAGGATGGCCACATTGGCTTTCCCAAAATTGTTGTTGGACTACTGCTCCTATAATCTTCAAGTATTGATCATGCTGGCTGGGGTTTATGGGAGTTGGGAGTCCAAAAATATCTGGAGTGTTACAGTCTCCACCCTTGGTCTACCCTGCCTGGCAGGAGATCTTCGGTGATTCAGGCAGCTATATCTAGAGAGACTGCAAATTGAACTTATGCAAGGGCTTTGTTTTTGCACACCAGGTTTTTCTTGTCCAGGTAGATAGAGGAAAACAATACTGAGTGAACAACCCCTGCAGCAACTTCAGGCACTCGTGTAAATATAATCATACCAATATAAGAATAACAGAGATCCTGAAGTACATCTAAATATGAGAATTTTGCCAGTGGTGTGACCCTCAGTCCCTGCCAGCATCTGCTAGTATCTTCATTTAAGATTCCTCCTATTCAGGCCTTTCTTGTACTGTCACCCCAAGTCTGACCCCCCCAGGGTTGTTCTGAATCTGCACCCCTCCCAATAGCCTACTAATTAATTATCCATAGTTGTAGCTCCCCCACTTCCGCTGTACCCGAACTGAGCTTCAAATGTGACCACAAGAGCATAAGCAAAGACCCACTGTCCCTAACGCTGGAAACTCAAATGACCTTTGGATCATCACAGGCAGGTCATGATGAAGATTTGTTTGTCCCCAGCATGTGTTAATTAGAAGTAAACTGTTTCTGAATTTAGAATTCCTTTATTCATTCTCATGGCTAAGACACATTGATCAAACTATCCACCATTAATTTGACTGATCCTCATGGCCTCCACCACATCTTGTGGCAATAAATTCCACATGCTAATGATGTACTACATGGCTATATTCTTAAGTATCCTGAGTCTGCTGCCAATCAATTTTTATTTGGATGATCCAGAGGTCCAGTATTTTGAGAGAGAAATCTCTCTATTCATCCTATTCACGCCATTCAAAATTTTATAAACCTCTATTATGTTCTTTCTAAGTCATCATTTTTCCTAAACTAAGAAGCATCTCCCTTTTTAGCATTTCCTTTTAGGGAAGATTCTGCAACTTCCTGATTTGTTCAGTTGACTTTTGCTGCACCTCCTCCAGCTGTGCTGAGGATGTCCCTCATCAAGTCCTCCCTATTTAGACCAAGTAGGCTGTCAGAATTTAGGGCATGTCCCCCCCCCCCTTGTAAGCAAATATTGATTAAGGACTTTTTTCACTCATGACTCAACAGTACATGTATGTTCAGATACATCGGGGTTTCCCAAACTTGGGTCTCCAGCTGTTTTTGGACTACAGTTCCCATCATCATTCCTGACCCCTGGTACTGCTAGCTAGGGATGATGGGAATTAAAGTCCAAAAATAGCTAGAGACCCTAGTTTGGGAAACCCTGATATACACAGACACACAATGTATTCAAATGGGGGAAAGGCTCTTTCTGCAAAGTTAATTCTACCTCATACCCCCTCATAAGAGCAGCTCTGCTGGATCAGACCAAGGGCCATCTGGTCCAGCATCCTATCTTCACAGTGGCCGACCTGATGTCTATGGGAAGCCCACAATCAAGACCTCTTACCTATTGATAGCCTCATCCTCCATGAATTTGTCTAAGCCTCTTTTAAAGCCATCCAGGTTGGTGGCTGTCACTGCCCCTTGTGGGAGAAAATTCCCAAGTTTGCCTCTGTGCTGTATGAAGAAGTACTTTTGCCTGTCCTGAACCTTCTAACATAAATTGTTTGTATTTGTTTATTGCATTTACAGTATATCCCACCTTTTTCTCCAAGGAGATCTAAGCGGCATGCATGTGAGGTAGGTTAGGATGAGAGGCAGTGACTGGCCCAAGGTCACCCAGTGACCTTTAGGGCCAGGTGGGGGATTTGAACTCTGGTCTCCAAGATTCTAGTCTGACCCCTCTTAACCACTACACCACACTGGTTCTCCATTAGGGACAGGTTGCCTTATACTGAGTCAGTCACTTAGCTCAGTGTTGTCCACACAGGTTGGCCACAGTTCTCTAGGGTTTCAGATGAGACTTTGTCCTACTGTCCCAGCCCTAACTGAAGATGTCCAGGACTAAATCTGGAGCCTTTGCCATGGGCCAGGAGTCAGCTTTACCTGCTGAGCAGCAGCCTGAAGGGGCAGAAAGGGGAGTGACTCCACCTGCAGCTGATCAACCTTCAAGGACTTAAGAGAAGGTGCTGATGAGAACCAGCTGGCTTCAGCCTTCTTAAGCAGAGCTTCAAGCAGGAGGTGGATGCTGGTAGCAATGCTAGTAGCTCCTGGCCCTACCTTGCTGTTTCCTGCTTGTTGTGACCCTGGACCCCATGATCAACAGGTTCCCTGATCCCTGAACCATTTGACCCCATGGATCACTGTTCATCCAGCCGTAGGACTGGACCTGACTTTGGATGCTGCCTCTTCCTCCAGGCAAGTACACTTCAGAGACTCTTCTTGTAACAAGACCATGACAACCTTCTGTACGCAATGCAGATTCTCCGTGGTGGAGCAAGGGCCATAACCTAAACATTCAGCTTCACTGATAGCCAGGGTTCTGCTATTATGAGAAAAGGAGAAAAGCTGCTCTCTATCTGCTTCTTCCACACCTTGCATAATTTTGTGTGCCTCTATTATGTCTCCCCTCACTTACTTGCTCTCTACTCAAGTTTCGGAACAGAGGCAAATCATTCCACAAATACAAATGGTACTGATCGCTTGGGACTGAACCACTACTTCAGAATGCAGGACAATATTGTGTTTCAATGCCCCCCCCACACACGCAATCTCTTCTTGCACATAGAAAATGAGGAACATAAGCACATACAGAAGAACCCTGCTAATTTAAATGGTGTTCTAACCTTTGGGAAAGACACAAGCAGAGCGTAAAAGCAGCAGCCCATTTTGTATCCCCCACAAGGAGTATTCGGGGGCTTCTGATCTGTACCATTCAGAAATTGAGGGGAAAGCTTGCGAGAATCCTCTCTGCCCCCCCCCCCCCGGCAAGAGATGCATGGTGTGTTTTGTTTTGTTTTGACGTGGAGCTTTCACTCCTATGAGCCTCTCACCTGCATTCCAAAGTGGTACACTCCTAGGACAGCAGCACCATGTGCTATTTCTGGAGGTGTAGTTCAGCTTGGAACTCTTTCCCGGTCTGTCTTAGGCTGGATCGATCTTACTGCCTGAGGGCCCTTTCAAGTGCTAATCCTGTCTGAGTCTTGGATTTTCCTTCATTTGTCCCTGTATTACAAAACTAGTCCCATGGGTTGTGGGGCTTTGCATAATAGGCGGCTATGGGGGTTCTCTATAGGAGAATATAGGAAGTCAGACCATTGGTCCACCTCACTCAGCATTGCCCCTGCTGACTGGCAGCAGCTCTCCAGGGTTTCAGGCAGGGTTGCAAGGTGGTAAATGGTTACCTAAAGCTTCCTAGGGATGCCCTGGGAGCAGCAGAGCTTCCTTCTCAGACAACCTGACCATCGATCCTCATATAGACGTGGCAAGCCTAGCCCCAGGTCAGACTGGGCTCCCAGGAGGGATCTCCTAGGCAGCTTGCCCTCTGATTTCTGATTTCTGGCTTCCGTATGAGAAACCACAGATGTGCGTGCCGGCCCAAATGCATTGAACAAGGCAAGTTGGTGTGTTTTGATGTGCATCAGAGTAAGAGGTGTGTGTGTGTGTGTGTGTGTGTGTGTGTGTGTATTTGTGTTGGTATGGTGCCTGGGGGTCTGTAGCAGCTTGTGCTTCTATCTCTGAACTGGGCTATGGATTAGCTTGCGGTGCTGAATGTCAGCCCAGGAACAGGGACTGAGAAATGGATACTGCTCCAGAAGGGGGGTTTCTATAATTTCCAGAAGATACACCTCCCTCAGTAGCTGACCCACATGGTAGCAACCTAGATGCCCTACAGCCTCTAGAGTAAACCTAAGGGTTCCCACATCCATAGCTGTTCTCCAGGCAAGGTGGTTGGTTGTGCGCACATGTTTTTGAACTCCAGCTTGCTTCAGCCAACAGGGCCCAACGGTCAGGGGTGATGAGCACTGTCATCTGACAGCAGGGTGGCTCGTTCCCCCCCCCATCCCTGCTATGTGTGCATGCATGGTGGAAGCAAGGGCCAGGGAGGAAGGATCAGTGACGTTTGAGAAAGTTTCCTGCGGCTGTAATTATGTGCTTGGGTCATCAGACAAGCGCTGGAGCCAACCCAGCCATTTCGTGGAACGAAGCAAGGAGACCCCCTACTGGGCAACTCTAGACTAACTGGCCTGGAGCTCTCTCTACTCAACCTTTAGGAGTTTCCCCCAAATGTCACTCAAAGCCATTATGCTGCTATTTGTGTGCACATGCGGGCACTGTTTATGCAGGCTTGAAAG